AGCAGAAGCGTGTCAGAAGCCACGTGCTTGCGCCAGTTCTGATGGCCAACGGGCAGATTCACCAGGACAGCGACGTGCCTCAGCTCCAGCGCAACGCGCCTTTGCAAATTCCAAACAGCATCTCCAGGAAACAGTAAGGGGAGTAAGTCATGAAATAACAGTAAAACAAAGTTTTATTATTGGCAGTAAAAGACAGCAGTTTAATTCTCTGTATACCCGCACATGTAATCACACTATTAAAATGAACTAACTACTCTGAATAAGCATTAGGAAAATATACCTTGTTTTCCAGCAGCGCACTCAGCCTGCTTTAATTTAAATGGGGCACAAGCTCTCAGCATCTGGTCTGTGACCCGCGGAGCTCCCCCAAAGCTGTCTTGCGGCTAACTCCCCTCTCCTTTTCTTCCCCTGGCATTCTGCTGGAGCGCATTTGCTCGTCCTGCGACACAAATCCCAGGCAACTCGGATAAAACCGCGTAGCCAGTTCTCACAAATCCATGGAAACAAGCACAAAGGGCCGGGAACGCTGCTAAGGAAGCCCACTGGCAAGCGGGTAAAGGCAAGGGTCGCGGCCGTGCCGAGCGGCTCCCCCAGCCAAGGCTCCGATATCCCATTCACGCAGCATTCGCCTTCGGCACGGGGTGCTGGGAATAAGAGGTGGCTGCAAACAGAACCAGCAACAGGCCAGAATGTGCCGAAAATCTAAGGGAATAGCCGAACACCCCAGCTATTCCCATGGCTTACCTGTGGCACAGTAACTCCCAACTACTTCCCATAAATGCAGCGGAATTCAGTCGAGCATCACTCAGACGAAGGAAGTTTTCCAGCTGCGGAGTGCGGGTGGCCGGAGCACACGCAGAGCCGCTTACTGCAGGCGAGGGCAAAGCCCTGCTCCCACCGAGTGGTAGTCTCCAGCACCACCCAACCTCATCGCGTTCCTTCTGCTCCAGGACCTTGCAGAGGCTGTCTGAGGCCTGATGACACCCAGAGCGGCTGCAGCCAAACCAAAGCGTCTGCTGGCCCTCCTGGCTAGTACAGCTCCTCATAACCAAGAGCTGATCACCCTGCAAGTATGAACTTTGCTGAGCAACTGAGGCTTATCTTGACATAAGGGTGAAGCAGCAGCTGGACTTCGTAAATAATCACAGCATAGTTTGCACCGGAAGAGACCTTTAAAGGCCACCTAGTCCAACCCCCTGCCATGGGCAGGGACATCTTCAACTGGATCAGGTTCTCAGAGCCCCATCCAACCTGGCCTTGAACACCTCCAGGGATGGGGCACCCACAGCTTCTCGGGGCAACCTGCCCCAGGGGATCACCACCCGCACAGGCAAGAAGTTCTTCACAATATCTCATCTCAATCTTCCCTCTTCCAGTTTAAAACCGTTCCCCCTCATCCCATGGCTCCCCTCCCTGATCCAGAGTCCCCCCCAGCTCTCCTGGAGCCCCTTTAGGCACTGGAAGGGGCTCTGAGGTCTCCCCTTTTTGGCCTTCTCTTCTCCAGGCTGAACCCCCCCAACTCTCCCAGCCTGTCCTCCCAGCAGAGGGGCTCCAGCCCTCCCAGCATCTCCGGGGCCTCCCCTGGCCCCGCTCCAACAGGTCCATGTCTCTCCTGCGCTGAGGGCTAAGCTGACTTCAAAAGCAATGAGAGTTATGAAAGATACATTTTTGAAAGGAGAAACAGGATGGTGTAAAAATCCACCTTGCCAAGGACCAAGCGGGGACAGGCTCTTGGCGTTTTAACTTGAACTTTCTCTCCTGTTTAGCCCAGATAGAGACCTCATGAAAACCAATGAGCTGAATTTAGGCCGGAAACTGGGGATGATACACAACAGCTGCACTGGCCTGGATGGAATGACCAAACCCAGAATGTGCGTGAACGTTTGGGGCATTTCTCTCTCGCAGAGCTGGAAGTTGTCGTTCTGTCAATGCCGAATAGTTCCCAAAACATGGAGCAGGCTGCAGAAAGCAGACACATGCACCGCGAGAGACTGACCTAAACCATCCCCTGCTTGTACGCAACATAACAACTCCTTCAACGCTACAGAGAACACAAAGGAGAAATACAAAGACAGATGCGAAACTAACGCTGATGTCTCCCTTGAAATTCCCGATTCACTCTCATCAATACAGATGAGGATTTCACTGTAACTGCGTCCTCCCTTTCGGCAAAATTAAAAGAAAACACCTTATTCGACAGCTCTGCCCCTCACTGGCCTGAGAGAGGGGACTGGTGTTTCCCACCGCCAGCGCGGCTGCGTCAAGCCTGCTTTCCTCAGCTCTAACGAACTTTGCATTAAACACCCTCTTTCCCGCCCATCCGTCCCAACCCACTCCGTCCCTCTCCCGCTCTCCGCTCCCCATCAGGAACAACGGCTCGGGATCTTCTTTTCCTCTTGGGTTCTGCTTTATTCAATTCCATCTCGAGCTCCTGGTTTGTTGTACCTTCTGTACACCATCCTCGTGTTTCTATGGTCAGACGCGACCTGTTCATCACCACGTTAACCCTGTGCTGAAAAGCGAGCACCGGGCTGCGTCTGTAGCGCCCGGAGCCAAGTCCCCTGCACAGAGACACAACCTGCGCACGGGAATCAATGGTTTCAGATGAAATAAGGGACAAGAATAACTGTCAGGAGGCAGCTTAGCAAAACAAACTGCCCTCCGTTTGAACATCCTGAGCCCAGCCAGAAAAAGACTGGCCTGTAAAATCATTTTCAAACGAAAAGCCATTTTCAAAAAGAATTCTTGACAAGATTCAGATCAACTGCAGTTTTCTGGCTTAGTCAGACCCTGAGAACCAAATTCTGCTCTCATTTACATCAGAGCGAAGCTCAAAGCCTAATGAAATAGTTGATGTTCATCCTCATGTAAATGAAAGCAGAATTTGGTCCGAAAAATCCTGTTTTCCCAACTGACTTTATTACAGGGTAAGTGTTAGGCGGGAGTTCAGGTTTCTTTTGAAGTTATTTTATGGCAAGGAGATAGAGTGGCAGAGATCTAGTTCGACGAGTCTAATCTGTCCTAAATATGCACACAGTGTCTGATGAAAGAACCACAGAGGAGCTATGGCAGCCCTGCAACGCATAGTTACAGAAGCCACACAAATAGTATTGAGCTTCCAGCAATTTAAATGGGAAGTATTCTGCCAGAAATCTAACCCCGGCTACTTCACATGTCAGCAACTCAGAGAGTTTTAATATACCGGTTGAATAAGTTATAAACACGAAGACTCGAAACCATTGCTGAAAACTTACCCAGGAGGAAACCGGAAAACAACAGCACGGAGCAAGAAATAAGCAGTGTAACTGGATAAAGAGAAGAACAGCTAAATGCAGAACTGAGACAGGTAAAATTCCCTCCTCGTGCACCCCCTTCACCCGCAACATCCAACAGTTCCACTGTAGCAAAGGATTTGATCAAACATGAACAGGAATGGAAGAAATAAATCCTGGCAGACACCGACCTCCCTAATGAGTCGTACTTCTATAATAGAGTAGTAATAAGCCAGAAGAATTTAAGCCTGGAATAATAACGTTGTGCTTTGCATGTTTACAGCGCTTTTCCTGTTTAAAGCACTTCTCTCATATTACCCAATTGTTCTTCATAACACTCCCATCTGCATTTGCTTCCGTGATTCCTTCATTTCACAAAGGTGCCACTAAAGACACGGATACCGGCAGCTTGCCCACGGCTACCGACGAATAAATGAAAGAACCGAACCACAATTCCCAGTTCCAGTTCTGTGCCCGCCTTACAGGACTGCAGACCTTTCCCCAGCTGGAAATGTCCTGTCTTATTCCATACGCTGACCGCCCCTCGCGCTGGCGGAACGCAGGAGCAAGGCTTTCTCCATGGCCAACTCCACTTCCACATCACAGCCGGGGAAGCCTCGCCAGCAGCCGGGCCTTTCCCGTCACCTCTGTCCTCAGGCAGCTCTACGGACACGGCACGGCTCACGCCCAGGACAGGTCTGGTCTCGCAGAGCTGAGGTTTCCACAAGGGGCCCACGCTGGAGATGGTTACCTCAAACCCTTTGCTCTGGCTCCGCATAACGATGAGCACCTCAGAAATACAGTTATTTGCCTACGACGTGCAAATATTTACAGCGGATGGAAATCAGAGATTGGTATCTCTCCACCAGAAATAATTCCCCAAACATAAAAACTAAAAAAAATTAACAACTTGGCTTCTTGATCGTCTGCATTAACCTACTTACGGCAACAGCGGCATTACGGAAAAACACGCTGCATGTTCATACATAGTCCAGTTGGGACTCATCAAGCCTTAACAATTTTTGAGCTGGAAAGTTTCAATTCATTTCTTCTTTGATAATAAATCCACACATACATCCAATACTCAAAATAAACGAGAACAGCAGCTTTCTAGGACTTGATTCCCCCACTAGTGCTTCTGAACAATGTTCTCAAATCCCATTAACCACGGGACGCAAACACCTGAGACGCCTGAACATATACACCTATGAATGACTCTTTTGCCCCACTTGAGCCAACTGGAACACCTGTATTAATTTCAGTAGTCAGTGTTCCACCACAGAGACTTTATTTTGTGATTTCTTCACAAATAAAATCCTCACTGACAGGAAAACCAGGAGTTTTGCATTTTAAGGGCTTGTGTATGTGGTTCTGAAAACAGGAGACCTGACACACCGCTCCTGATGGTTCCAGAGACAGAAGAACTGCAGTAAAGCTCTCAAGATCTCCATTAGTTTTCCACTTCAGGGACACAGCTCGACTGACCAAAAGGCAAAGGGAGCAATCCACAGTCTGAATTCATCTTGTTGGGATTATGGCTCTTTTACACAAATATGAAGAAAATGATGGTATCAACAGTCTACTTTGCAGCTCAAAGTGACTTACGGAAAATCTGCAATTTATGGAAAATCCTTACTCCAGGAAATTTGGCTGCATGAGAAAACTCTAGCCAACAGTAAGAGAAATATCGACACGCACACCAAATTCCAATAAAGCAGAATAACATACCTCCTTGAAGTTATCGAATGCAGATAAAATGATTTCATGCCCTCCTCTGACGAGACAAACGGCTGCTAAAAGTTCTAAGACGAGGGCCTTTGTCCTGTGAAGAAAAGAAACAGCGACAGTCAACGACCGCCCCGTGCCGAACCACCTTCTTTCTACCTGCCTGCAAAACACACGTGGAGACACTGGGAGACGCAGATCGCGTCCCGTGTATTTTTAATCTCTTGAAACCGGTAAACCTACAAGGCGTTTAATGCTGAGCATCACCTGATCCAGGGAACTGCGACTCTCCCGGGATCATGCAGCTTTCCCCCATTTTAACACGTCTCAAAACATGCAAAAAATTTAAACCGCGAACGCTGGTGGAAATTGAAAGCAAACCCGTGGCAGTTGCAGAGCTCTGGCAAAGGCAGTCCTCCTCAGCCTTCGACAGCCTGGGCTCCGCAGAGCCCACCTGCCCGAGCCCGCAGCGGGGGCAGCCTCCCCCAAGCCAGCATCACCGCACGGCAGCCACCAGCCAGCCGGCTCCACCGCAGCGCAGCCCGCTCTTCTCAGCCCAGGTTTTACCGAACGCGCTTATAATTCAAATCTGTATTTTGCCCGATACAAATCTGAATTATTTTCTATGATAATTATTCATAGCCACACACACACACGAAAAAAAAAGACGTGGTTCTCTGAAGTGAATATAGGATGCCTTAGCACATCTCTCCCCTCTCGAATCGGAAATACGGGCAACTGATTGACAGCAGTGCTAACACAGGCATATTAACGAGAGAAGACAACAGATTACTGAAAGAAAAGCATGCAACAGACTCAGTCTAACTCTAATATAAGTAATCCCCGGTACTTTCTTACCGGGTTCACGTAAGGCAAAAGCACCAACCGGACTTTATGGCCAGATGAGCTCTGAGCAGGTATTAAAATCATGCAGACACATATGAAATTAGTCTCATGCCAAAGCATTGACCCAAACCAGATGTTACAGAAAAAGAAATACCTTTTGGCTTTCAAAGTGTCAAGGTTATCTTTGGAAACCAGATAAAATGTTCACTTTCCTAGGAAATTTTAAATGTATCATTTTCAATTCTTACTCATCAATTTTTTTTTTCCTGCCACAAGAAGAAAATCCACGCTCTTTCAGACCGGATCAAGGGGTTCTTACTACAGATCTTCAGCAATACCCCCTCCAAGGGCGGGCGGTGAACCGTGACTGCGGGAGAGGGGAGGGCGATCTCTGAGCACAGAGCCCACGGGATGCCCACGTCTCCGATGCTGGTCGGAGCGCTCACCTACACATCTGGGGTGGGGACGGGGAGAGGACAGCTACGGCTGTGTCGGTGGCATCCACTGGGGCACAACCAGAGAAAAAGGAGTCCCTACATCCATCCTCCACCCACTCCTGCGGCACCCAGCTCCGCAGCGTGCACGGCCTGGGGACGGGAGCAGCTCTGCAGCATCGCTCAGAGCTGCCGCTTCCCTTTTTGCACATCTCAGACAACTCCAACCTCTGGTTTCTTCAAAAAATCATCATGGGGCTAAACCAAAAAGAAATTAGGTTTTGAACAGCACTAACATTACGTTAAGCCACATTTGAAAGCTTTTTTTTTAAATAAACAGAAATCTAAATAACCAACTTCTTTCGCAAATGAAAACTTGGGCTCTCTCTTATCACCCGATTTCCAGGCACCGGACACCAAAAATGATCAAAAACTAAACTTCCCGTATCCTTCCCAGGTATGCTGTGCCCAGGCTTGCTGGGATAAAGAACAGAAAGGAACGAAGTTCCATCAGGGCAAGATTTCAAGCAGTGCACTGTAAGGCAAGCGGACAGCCTAAGCAAAGGCTAGAGAGAGAGATTTATAGTGCTGTTTAGTTTTGCCTCACCCCCTAGTTTTACCTTCCCTTGCAAACATCACTGTGTCACATTTGGTTTCGTGAAGACATGCAGGAGGTCTGCAGCTCCAGGCTTTGCTGGAAGCGGGCGCCAGGGTGAGGGGCGCGCGCGGGGAGAGGAGGGGACGCAGCCTCGCTGCCCGCACCTCCCCTCTGCCATTCCCACCTCATCGCCGGGGCTCACCGGCAACCCCACAGGGAACAAGAACGAACCCCCCTCTCAAAGAACTGTAAACCTAAGGGCCCCTCAGACAACGCCTAGTTAAGAAGATTTTCCTACTCTTCAGGAGAATCCCAGGCTAAGCTGCTCATTATCAGCCAGGTTGTCTTTGCACTGCCGTCGAGACGGAGTGCTTAAGGAGAGAACTTTCAGCCGAAGAGTCAGGAGCTCCCGAAATCAAGGGAACTAGCTGGCAATTGCTCATCTATTTGCACCACAACACAGATTTAATCTGATTCAGAACAAAGTCTGATTTTTGCTACGGGTTTGTGCATAAACATAACCCTGAAAATCCCTCTCCGTGGACTCTTTACTTACCCACTTCTTAAACCCTCTAAAAGCAAGTGCAGCCTACCTGGGATTCTTGTTGTTCAGACTTAGTGCAATTTCATTAACGGCATGTGGATGCGACATGACCATATTGAATCCATACTGAAAAGAGAAGGGGAAAATATTGTTTCAGTTCTGAGACTGAAATTATTATTTTTCAAATCCAACAAATTACGTATCTCTGACCAGATCTGGCGGCAGTCCTTCACAGCGCTGTAAACCAAACAAAACGTTGTTGAGTTTACCAAGTCAGCCAGCACATTTCCATCTACCACCGTGCCGAACAGTGCCACTGACAGTGTCGAAAGTACCTGCTTTGGCTACGTCAGCCAACAAAAAAGGGTCCGCTCCACCACTGCCAACCCCTCGGCTCGTCCTTTCCCCTCCCTCTTGCTTTTAATTCCGACAGTCAAGCGCATCATTTACCCTCTAAAGAGGAATTTGCAATTCAGCAGCCAAAATGACTCCTTTTCCAGCACACACGCTGCCATGGAGCGCCCGCAGTGCGCAGTTACTGTGGCAGAACTGCTGGCTTTGCTCTCCAAAAATTAAAAAAAGAATTGCTCTGGAAAACACCGTATTGGTTATTAGACAGCCTGTGAACCCCAGGGAGCCCGTATCCCCAAGGGCAGAGTTCCCATACACAGCCGTGTTAGAAATAGCTCCTACAACCACACAACTCGTAATAAAGGTGCTCACCACAGGCTTTCTTTGAAGCACTTTTAGCTGTTACTGTTTCAGCAAAAAATCCCAAGTTGCTGAAGGTACCCGGGCATGCCATATGATCAGGGCATCCCACAGAAGAGAAGAGAAAGTCATGAAAATAAGATCAGCTTTGGGCTGGTTTATTCTTTGATTTGCAGTTATTGCAACCGCCTTGTGATAAAGACGGAACAAGAGTGACCGCTTGGATTTTCCATCAGTGTACAGCTCTTCTGGAAAATTCTCATCTTTCCTAAGTGTTAGTACTAAATCCTGAGAAGAATTACAGCTTCGGTTGTGTAGCTGCGTGCCTAATAAGTTAATGCAAACGGAGCCCATCACTGCAAACAGGAACCTGCCCAATATGCACATGGGCTTCACAACCGTACTAAATCGTGTGCATGGTGGCACAAGGACTGGGTTACACTGCTTCCCAGCTACCCTGCCTAAGAACGAGCAAGAATCTAAACCTTTGCGTCAGGGTTGGGCACAAGTTGGAACAGAGGAAGTTCCGTTCCAACACACGGAAACACTTCTTTACGGTTGGGGTGGCAGAGCAGTGGCACAGGCTGCCCAGGGAGGGGGTGGAGTCCCCTTCTCTGGAGGTTTTCAAAACCCGCCTGGATGCAGTCCTGAGGGATGTGCTCTGGGCAGTCCTGCTTTAGCAGGGGAGTGGGGCTGGGTGAGCTCTAGCGGTCCCTTCCAACTCTGAACATTCTGTGATTCTGTGTTACCTTAATTCACCATCAACCTTCTCCTCCCCCCTCCCAACAACAAAGCAGTTATGTGGTCCTAAAGAACAAAAAGGGAAATACCTGGTAATTCATTATGGCCCGTAAACACATGATGCAGACGTGGACATCATCTTTTTTACTCACTAATCTGGAATTTTTTAGCGTTCTTCGGCTTGGCAAGGTGTTATACCTGCAAACAAAAACAGCTCTCATCAATCACAAGACCATGTTTAGGTGGTAAGAATAAAGAAATGGAGATATTCCTCCTCTGGGTGAAAACGCTCCTCTGTGTCCAGTTTTGGGCTCCCCAGTTCAAGAGGGGCAGGGAACTCCTGGAGCGAGTCCAGCGAAGGGCAACCGAGATGATTGAGGGATTGGAGCATCTCCCGTATGAGGAAAGGCTGAGAGCGCTGGGACTCTTTAGCCTGGAGAAGAGAAGGCTGAGGGGAGACCTTATTATGGCATACAAGTATCTGAAGGGTGGGTTGAAGGAGGATGGAGCCACACTCTTCTCGGTGGTTCCCAGTGACAGGACGAGGGGCAGTGGGCACAAGTTGGAACAGAGGAAGTTCCGTTCCAACACACGGAAACACTTCTTTACGGTTGGGGTGGCAGAGCAGTGGCACAGGCTGCCCAGGGAGGGGGTGGAGTCCCCTTCTCTGGAGGTTTTCAAGACCCGCCTGGATGCAGTGCTGAGGGATGTGCTCTGGGCAGTCCTGCTTTAGCAGGGGAGTGGGGCTGGGTGAGCTCTAGAGGTCCCTTCCAACTCTGAACATTCTGTGATTCTGTGATTAATGCAGACGTCTTTTGGTTCTGCAGAGCAGATGACCATCAGACAACACACACGTAGACGAGGCAGGGAGAAGGTGAGGGGCCGTTGAGACTGGCAGCGTACGAAGCCGCAGGTGCCCAACTCCACACCTGCCTGCCGGCCACCGCTGCCCAGCCAGCGCCAGCCCCCACCACGAGCACCGGTCCCAGTCCCTCCACCCGGCACAGCCGGTGCCACCGGCCATAGTGTGACCCAGCCAGAGCCAGACACCTCCATCTCTCGTGGCACGGAACGGGGAAGGAACGAACCACCCACGACCGCAAGGATTCCAGATTTTTTTCCCCGTGCATTTTACTCTGCAGGAGCAGCAGCGCGGGCTTTTAATGGAACCGAACGTTCGTAGGCATCAGCAAATGTATTCATCCCCGCTGCATCTCCTTTAAGAATGGTGCCTCTCTTCTATTCCGCAGCTGAGCTTTCTGAAAGGCCTCCAAATTATTTGGGGAAAATACAGCCCTTCGGAACTTTCCTCAGAACAGAGGCATTAATTATTTTAATTGTGACCCCTAACTGGTACATCAACCTCGAATTCAATTAAATAAGTACACGGAATAAACACAAAGGGAAATCCTTAAAGCTGTCATTTCTACGGCATAGTAAATGAAAACCACATTTCAGCTCTTCCTGAGATACTGCTTATTTTCTTTTGAGAAAAAACACACTCCACGGGCTGAGCACAGGAAATCGGAGACAAGGAGACAGGCTGCCATGTGAAATACATATATGTCCTTATATATGTGAAATCGAATAAGCGACAAGAGGATTATGGTCAATACACTCTTTTGACAGTGATGCGCTAACTGCTGCCATCGGGCGATGGGGTCCGCGGTGCCACCGCGGTGCCCTGGCGAGCCGCGGGAGCAGCACGCTGCGGGACAAGCCCCATCCAACCCGTGGGGGGCTGCGGGGTCCCCGGCTGTGCCAGGGACACCGAGGGGCTCCGCAAAGCCCCCGAGCAGCCCCAGCCGGCAGCACCGCCGGCAGTGCCGACAGCGGTGGTGAAGGCTGCTGGTTTGGGGTTGGAAAAACACATTATTTGTCGTGCTGCCCCAATTTACAGAGTAAGAACAGCCGGGAGAGAAGGTGCAGGCAGGGTCTCAGTTAGGCACAGGGCTGCAGCATCCAGAGATTTGCTCCCAGTTTATACGACACCGGTGAGCGCAGAGACCAGCAGCTCGCTGGCTCGGGGGCTACCGAAACCTCCGGGCAGGCACAGGAATGCTTTTGCATTTCCAACTATCACGCTCGGGCCTGAAAATGGGAGGAAGAAAGTATAAAAATCTGCCGATAGGAAGATGGAAAGAAAAATAACGTGATGCACGTGTAGTGATGTGCAAATTCTGACATTTCCTATGGAACGAGCAACTCCTCTGGGGGAGAAAAGGGAAATTCATAGATGAAGTTTGACTGCTGGAGTAAATGCAACCTCCAGTAAAAAGAAGGCTTCTTCAGACACCTGCAGCTGGCCTCACACTTGCCAGGGCCACCTCTGCAGCCTGGAGAACACACACGGAAAGGCTTTTCTTCCCCTTGATTTGGGGAAACAACTGCAGTGGGGAAAGCTTCTGGATTACAGCACCCTTAGCTCTCACTCCGGTCCCTAACCAGGAGTTAAACGCACCAGTACTGGCACTCAGCAATGACTCGCAGCACAACCGCGCGCACACGCCGAGGCAGCGTGCGAAGGAGCGCTGGGGGACGGGAGAGCTTCCAGGGGACACGCACACCCAGGCTCTTCCATCCGAGAACTATGCCACCGCTCCGGGAAAGTCTGAGTGGCACGCAGGGAGTCAACGGGGAACGACCTGTCATTATTTCTCCTAACACGGGAACTACATGGCGTCACATCTAATTACCCGGTGACAGGATCAAAGCAAACCTGGTCATTTTTGAGGCATTCCTCCACACAGTGCTCCGGAGAGCGGGAGCTCTTCAGCACCACTGCTGCGGAGCCCAGAGCCCGGCACGGGCTCCAACAGCACTTACACCAATTCACAGAGGAAAAAACCCATCAAGAACTGTTAAACGCAAGATGCAATCCTCCGATCGGGATACTTAAATCTACAGACTGCTGGAAGCAGCAGCACGTACCGGGAGAAACATCACTGGGTGTCTGCCTTGCTCGCACGAAGCAAGTGCTCTGAGCATCTCCCGCACTCAGCGTCTGCCCCAGGGCAGCGTCAGAGAGGGGATTAGATACGGCTTTGGTGTTATCACACTGCACTGGTTTCCTCTTTCTGTCCTCTGCATCTCCGGAGTGCGTTTGGGGGGTTGCCCTGTTTATTGTGGATGCTACTGTGCAGATACTTGTCTAATCCATGCTACTCATTTTGTTTAAAAAAGAGGCGTAGCTTTTAAAATCACTGATGATGATGATTAATAATAATAGTAATAATAATAATAGTAAAGATTAATAATAAATACAGGAACAAGTAATACCAGACTCGTTTTATTCTGACTCGCTACCTCCCTGACACAAAGGACGCACTTGCAAATTCTCTCACGGTAAACGTACAAAGCGAGCGGGGATGTCCCGCGTGCCGGGCAGCGGTGCCAGCTCCGCAGCACCCCGGCTGTGCCCCCGTGCGCCCGCGGGAGCCCTCCCCGCCGCGCAGCCCCGGCGCGGGCCGAGAGCGGAACACGCGGGGAGCGCCGCAGCGCGGTGCCAAACCTCCCTGCCCACGGAGAGCCGGCGACTCTCAGGCTTCGGCAATTACTTCCCTTCGCTTTCATTTCTCCAGGAGCGCCGAGATGAAAGAAACCCCAAAATTCAAAGCAGAATTCAGTCAAACTGCTTTCCCCCCCCCTCCCTCTACATATGAATGCCTAAATCAGCTCAGGGCACTCCAGACGGATTTCAGGTTTGCGGGAAACATGACCTAGTTTTGCCTGAGAGCAGTGAGCGGTAAGAGCCCGGGAGCCGGCTTTCGGGGAGCAGACCCCGAGGAGGGGCACGGGAGTGGGACAGGACTAGGCTGCTCCCCGCCCCGTGGGGCCGACTCCGCTGGCCCCCAGCCCCCACGAGCACTTCGGATGGGGTCCTGCGCTGCACTGCACGCACCTGGGCTCCGGGACACTGTCCGGCTGCTCCTGGGGGGGACGGGGACAGCCAGGGAGTCAGCCGTGGGTCCCCACCAAGGGGCTGACTGCCCACACACACCCCCTGCGCTCGGGGACGCACTTGTCTTCCAGATCTCCCTTCCCGAGACAAACGAAGAGCAGTGCAACCTTCAACTGGGAGCCCTACCTTGAGCCTGAACTGGGAAGTGTGGAAGCACTGCCTGCGTCAGCTGGAAAACGCGTAACCCCACCGCACTAGCGTATTTCCACCCAATCATTTCACTAAATGCGAAAAAACACTGCAATAAAACGATTTAAAAGTCATTTCTAGTCATACAGAGATTGTTCTCACAATGACTTATCTCGGTTTTAAACTACTAAAGGCTGCATACATTATTTTCCTTTAAATTTTAAATAAGTAGACTATTTAGATCCTTATCACACCACTGATAGAAGAAAAAAGTCCTCCTCAGTGCCTGGTTTATCAAGTTCTTACGTTTCAGAATGCCTTTAAACATCGGACAGAGTGCCGTCAGCTGTAACAAATGGGAGCAAGTCTCCTTACGCTAATAAAAGATGACCATAAAGCCAGAACTTGGCATTTTCAGCTGCCTGGGGAGCGAAGAGAAACAGAATTGAGGAGCAGGGATACCCTGCAATGCAATGGGTCCCCCGAACACGCTGGGTCCCTCTCCCCGGGATCCAGCCCCCTGCACGGAGTCTCTGCGGGCTGCAAGATGCTCTCCCCTACACCTCTCGCTGCCCGCACGGCTTTCTGGGCACCCAACCAAACCCCCGCTCTGCAAAGCAATGCAGGCACCAACTGGGAAGGCTTGAGGTGAAAACAATGTTTGCCGCTTCTGAAGAGGTGGAAAAGACCCAGAGAAACCCAAGAAGGGCTGCAGACACCCCGTACAGCGCTACCTGCCCGCAGCCAGGCAAGCTGCTGTTTTGAAGCCTGGAGATGATCACTTGGAGGTTTCTCATACCAACGACCAACCGAATAGGCAAAGGCAGAGGTACCTGCTCTGTCCTCTTCCCAAAAGCCAAGGGGACCCTCACCTGCGGGGACTCTGCCCCAGCGCCAGGCTGCACACCGCGCTCTCTGCCGCAGCCCTCCTGCCTTCCCCCCGTCCCGCACGGCGGTGGCGCGTTGTTCAGTGATGCCATCAGCGATACGCAGAGCCCGCACCCTCCGGCGCGCGGAGCTTCCCCCCGCGTTAGTTTAGCATTCGGCTGAGGAACGGGCACAGAATATGCAATCGAGAGCTGCACTGCAGAGAAAATATCTCCAGCAC